ATTAGAAATGGGTCGTCGTAGAGCCGAGACAAAGACAAGGCCAAACAAACATACAAACACACAATCAACAATGCTGAGTACATAAGCGTAAACAGTACACTAACATGCTTTCATCCTAGCATCACACAACTTACCTTGTTGCATCTGTTTATAAGCATACAACATACAACCCAATTAATGAATAATTAAATTGCTTATTTAATTTGATTACACATCGAACGAATTTCCAACCAAATCCCTGCCCCAAAGAACTGGGGTAAACTACTCCGGGAGCTAACCGGATAGGCATAAATGTCACATGAGCTGACTGGACGTCCTGCGCATAAAATATAAAGGAAAATATAGCATCCTATACTCCAGAAGCTATGGTTAAATATAAAACCCCATAACTCCTCCCATATGTTTATACTCGAGGTATATACGTTCCAAGAGTTTTGGTGCGTAATCTCTTTCACTTTACGTTATTTACATATTTTAGACTTGGTGGTGACTCTCAATCCACAATACAATCAATCAACATAAACTATTCAAGTAATCAAACATTCCTATTCAATTCTTGAATATTTAGTGATCACATATAATTAAATGTTGAACCGTTTTTAAACTACCTCGGTGTTGAAACAACTTAAGCGTATAAAGCACCGCAAATCATATTTCTCGGTGTTTAGAACACCTTAAATGCACTTACGCACCGCATTTATTTTAAACCTATGTACTAAGACACTTAATAGCTCAATTCCCATGCTTGTAGCATCAATAAAAATTATACGAACCATGACAAAATTCCCTCTATATATTCCAAACCAAATTAAACATTTAGTTTAATTAAACATGCCTTCAATCATTCCAATAGTAAAAGTGTGGTCCATATACAACATGCCAACATAATTAATTCCAATCAATAATTCACCTCAAATACTTCATGCTTTACAAATCAATCACCAAAATCAATCCAATCAATAATTCCAACCAAAATCTATCATGACACTAATTTGGAATTAATTAAACAAGTCACCATTAAAAATGGGTCGTCGTAGGGCCAAGATAAAGACAAGGCCAAACAAACATACAAACACACAATCAACAATGCTGAGTACATACGCATAAACAGTACACACTTACATGCTTTCATCCTAGCAGTACACAACTTACCTTGTTGCACCTGTTTACAAGCATACAACATACAACCCAATTAATGAATAATTAAATTGCTTATTTAATTAGATTACGCATTGAACAGGTTTCCAACCAAATCCCTGCCCCAAAGAATTGGGGTAAACTACTCCGGGAGCTAACCGGGTAGGCATAAATATCACATGAAGTGACTGGACGTCCTGCACATAAAATAAAAGGAAAATACAGCGTCCTGTACTCCAAGTAGAAGTTATAGTTAACTATAAACCCCATAACTCACCCCATATGCTCATACTCGAAGTATATACGTTCCAAAAGTTTTAGTGCGTAATATCTTTCACTTTACGTTGTTTATATATTTTAGACTTGGTGATGACTCTCAATCCACGATACATCAATCAGCATAAACCATTCAAGTAATCAAACATTCCAATTCAATTCTTGAATATTTAGTGATCACATATAATTAAATGTTGAACCTTTTTTAAACTATCTCGGTGTGAAACACCTTAAGCGCGTAAAGCACCGCAAATCCTATCCCTCGGTGTTTTAAACAACTTATGTGCACCTAGGCACCGAATTTTGTTTTACACCTGTGTACTAAGACACTTACTAGCTCAATTCCCATGCTTATATCACCAATAAAAATTATATGAACCATAATAAAATTCCCATTATATATTTTAAACTAAATTAAACATTTAGTTTAATTAAACATGCTTTCAATCATTCCAATAATAAAAGTGTGGTCCATATTCAACATGCCAACATGATTAATTCCAATTAATAATTCACCTCAAATACTTCATGCTTCACAAATCAATCACCAAAATCAATCCAATCAATAATTCCAACCAATACCTATCATGATACTAACTTGAAATTAATTAAACAAGTCCTAGCATGCTTCTACACACTTAAATAATTACCGAGTACGCGAACGTACCTCTAATATGATCTCAAAATCGTCACGTCTACACGAAATCACTCACTTGGAAGTCTCCTACTACCCACAAATACCAAGAGACATTAATACCTATTCATAATAAATTTTCAGCAATATATACACTCTTTAAAACACTTTTAAACCTTCTAAAACATGCTGAAAATTTATTAAAACCACCTACTTTTATTCTCAATTAATGGGTAATTAAATCCTTTCAAGAAAACTTAATTCTACCCTCTACATAAAAATTCCAGCAATATAAAAACTCTTTAAGTTGCTGTAATTTAGTTTAAAACACCAATTTCAATAGTTTTAATCAACCACAATTAAATTCCTTTAATAAACATCAATTTAGAAACCTAGGGTTTACTAATTTGGGGCTTTTACATATATAAATCAAATCTGAAAATTTTGTGAATTAAACATCATTAAAAACATTATAAAATCATCACACAATACCCAAGACAATAATTAATCAAAGCTAATTAAAAATTTGAACCAAGAGTTTTTTTTTGTTCGAACCCGCACGCACAAGGGGGTGGGAGGACGGTCGCCGCCGTCTCCCACCGGCTGCTGCTGCCGGCGAGTGCTGGTGGTGACTGGCCGGTGGTGGCAATCAACCACCCTTGTGGTGGTTGTGTGTGTGTGTGTTTTGTGCATAATGAGTAAGGGGAGGGGAAAATTAAGGGGAAACGAAATAAGAGGAGAGAGAAAGAGAATTTACCTTTAGGTATTATCCACCTTGGGTAAGTTCTAATTTGCTTATAAGGTGGGTATTTATACTCTCTTTCAAAACCTTCCTAACCAAGTTTTCCTTTTTACCCTTAATGATTCTCATTCCTATTCAACTTGGTATTTTGACTTTAGTTAAATCCTTTTGACCTTAAAACTCCTTTATAAATCCAAAGTGCCCTAAAGTTTTAAATATTAAAATAAAATATTTTCAAAACCAAATGAATAAATAGAATGAGTTTATAATTAAAATAGACCTTTTAAATTATTAAAATAGCATAAATAATTCATTTCAAATTATTTATATCATAAAATAATATTTTAAATTAGTATATGTATAAAAATACGGGGTATTACAAATCTTTCACACGTTATGAATTATGTCACAATGTTGATTTCTCTACATCCGAGTGTGGTGAAATGATTATCATCAATCCCTATAAGACTTTACGAGATTAGGTTCAAGAAGTGGACCAACCTAATTTATCATTATAGATGATAAAGGAAAGAAAGTCATCACCAGATATAAGCCAAAAAAATTCCTTAGCCTCCCTAAATTGTGATATAGAGTAAGTTTTTATTTGAAGAACACTCCGCTTTGAATCAATGAGACATTAATTATGTTATAAATAAGCCAAGGAATTTTACATTGTCATTTTATAAAGTTGGTGACACAAATATTATCTCCTTCAATTTAAGGCATTTAATGCCATGCAGAATTGTGCTTTTGATTCCGTTGCATAGGCCATGGGTTCTACTTGAAGTAATCTAGATTGGGACGGAAGCAACATATATTGAACTAATTAAAATGAAATCCTAAAGAATTGCTTATTACAACCATTATGATAAGCTATCCACTTGAAAAAGCTAAGAAAACCGTAAAAGTTAAATATATGGAATGATGGGTATTTATTAAGAGATGATAAAGTATATATAAACCGATCTTGGGATTCAACCATTAGTTTAAACTTTTGATTGAATTGGTCCTCTAAAATGGTATCAGAGCCACCGTAACACAAAGGCCAATGGTTCAAATCTCATCCACCCCCACTTTTAAGTAAAATATTAAGCGCTGGATATGAAGATGGGCCATGCTGCATCCACAATAATGGAGAGCCTTGAAATCGAGTAACTATCATTTTAAAATGCGGTAATGTTTTAGATGAGCCACATAATCCCCTAAACAAAGGCCAACTTGCTAAAACCTTTAGCAACAATAGTATCTTTGCATTTATCAAGAATTTCAAAGAATCCAAATGGGAGAGTAATGCTTGGAATAGACCACTTGTCTTGACTATGGAGGAGCGAGTAGTGTTAAAAAGTAAAAGGACATATAAATAAAGAAAATATGGAAGGTGTCTTCTTTGTGATGATTTGATAAAGGGAAATCAAGCAAGGCAAAAATCTTGCTTTAATTTTATCTTACTTTTAATAAGAGACCATCATTACTTGGTTTTCCAAATCTTGAACTTTGGGGGTGAAGGAGGTGGTGGGGGTGTGTGTGTGGGTGTGGGGGTGGGGGTGGGGGGGTAATCAAGCTTGGGGATATTGTTAGGAAATAGACGAGGATCGATTCAATTAGGTAATGTGTTTGATATGCGCGAAACATAGGTTAGAGAACAATAAAGTAGCTTTTATGATTACGTATAAACGTAAATTTGAGAAATAAAGTAGAAATTAGATGACATGAATACACAATTTTTCGTGATCCAGCCAACATGATTTACGTCCACAAGGTAAGGGATAGTATTTTCTTAATAGCTTTCATGGAGGTTAAACAGAAAATATAACAAAGGAGATACAACGCTCTCCATCTCAAAAAATATATCAAAATCGAGTTGCATATTACTTTTGTTATCCAAAAAAAATTCTCTGCTATAGCTATTTTTTTTTCTCTACCATCTTTATCATTGCTTTATTTTTCATTAACCATGTTAATCTTATTGTCATCTGTTAAAATGAGATAACTGTTATTCCAATTTATTTGTGAACGAAGGGCCAAGCAGTATGTTATATTGATAAATTGAAATAGATCAGCTTTAGACAATAATATACAATATATTTTTTTTACAATTTTGCAAGATATCTTTTTTAAGTTGCATTCAACACTATATTGATATCGTTATACAATATATATGTCACTGTGTGATGCATAGATATTATCATGTTGTATAATAGTAGAGTTGAGTTTATAGAACTCGCTAAATCATAGAATAAAGCCATTTCCGGGATCGAAGTACTTAGTAATTAGTATACAGCAAATTATTTGTTTGCTGCAAAAGGTTAGAGTACTCTGATGACCTACAAGGCTACAACCAAATCATACTAAACATCGGGATTTCTAACTACAATAACAAGAAGTAACTGCATCAGCTCTATTATTTGGACCTATACAGTTAATAACCCTGGTGAAGCTGAATAAGTAGCTCCTTCAACATTCAACATTTGTACTAGATACAGAAAATTGAGTGGATTAACTCCGTGGCACCAGCTTGGATGATGCCGATTAGGCATATGCTAATAAATATGGCTACGATATTGGAAATGCCCACTCTTACGATCATTTGCAATCAGACCCACTGGCACTTGGTATTGGGTGCTTTTCTATCGCATTTGCAGTTTCTGAATCGCCTAATATGGTTTCAGAAGACCCAGGTCTCTTCCAAACTTTTACATGCCCTTCTCTGCATGCTGTAAGGATGGAGTGCTGTGTGAAGACCAAGTCTGACAAAGGATCAGTGTACACACGATGAGCAACAAGTGGAGAAAGCTTTGGGACATCTCGCATACTTGGAGCAGGCTGTAAAGAGCCCAACGGAACCACACTATCCCATTGTGCTGATTGACTTCCAGCACTGTATGTAGGTGAACCACCTGGTGGACAACGACGAAGAGGCACTACAATTTCATCCATTGAAAAATCCCATAAGAGTAATTGAGTGTCCTGCAAATGGAAAAATTTTCACTTGATCGATCATATAGGTGTTCACAACACACACAAAAAAAAAAAAAAAAAAAAAAAAAATCACAACCATGACATGTAACCCTAGAAGAATTAAGGAAATATGTAAATAAAAAATGTCATCGTCTAGCATGGCATGGTCATGCTCCTCCAACTTTGAATTAATGTTAAAATATGACAGTCTCTTACTCTCTCTCTTCTTCAAACTAATGAAAAGACATGGGAAAAAACTTGTAGGTCTCATCGAGATAGTCTCATCTGGTAGGATTTTGTGACATGTAATTAAATCAACAATAAACAGCACCCATTACCTTATTTAATCACTTATACTCAACAAAACCCATCACCAATATTCCCTTAAAACTATGTGCCCAAGTTTTGTGGGGGATGGAGGGAGTATTAAACTTAACTAAGAAGAGAATCTTTTGATATCAGGAGAAAATGAAGCAACTAACCAATGTTAACTTTATTCCCCTTAAATAGGACAACAAAACATAACCCAACTTGACTGATTTAGCAAAAGGAGATAAGGTAGCTGATGCCTACAGTTTGTGTATGGTAGGTGACACTTAGATAAATCAAGGGAGAAAAAATACATCATTATCTCAGCGGACTTCGATGTTTGATGAGACTTCCAAGAACAAATTTCTTTTGTATTGATGATGCTGGGATATTGCTAGGAGGAACAGTGAAATGTTCTTCCTTCCGGGAATCTAAACTCAATCTGAGAAGCCGAACAATGGACAATGGTACATATAAATTTTTTAGGTTGTAGATCAAAATACTTCTTAAAAAATGTTGTGAAAACGGACAGAGAGTCGATAAATGTCCTTGGCATACTCTTGTGGCAACAAGGGGGCATGCTGAAGATGAGATTGACCACGAGACAACAGTTTGTAGAAGTGAAATCATTAACAGGGTGAAACCATGAACGTAATAAGGAAAAAGGGCTAATGGAATATGTTCTGTTATGTCCTTTTGCATAGCCATTGCCTACAACTGAGACTCATTCATTCCATCAAATTCAAAGTGCACGTATAGCGGACTGGTGCTTTTTGAAATTAATGTCTTAGAAAAGCATATATTTGTCATGCATATCACATTAGTACATTATGGGTTTTAAATTAAACTTAGTGACTTAATGTAATGCATCAAGTTTATCGGGAGGAGTGTAGGTCGTGCACTACGATAGTGTCTTGAAGAGAAAGATGAGTTTGTTAAAGGAATCTTATTAATAGAGCACATCTGGGAGATATGATGAATATTGATGAGAAGTTTTTTTTTTTTTTTAGATATTTTGTTAGCTTCCTATGGGGCTGTAATCTCCTTAGTGATGACTTGATTGCATTGCTAATACAACACCCAAATTCTCTTTTTTTTCAGTTCTACAAATCTGATTCATTCATTAACAGTTTGTAGAGAATTCCTCGACCTCCATCAGATAGATATGAAGGCACAATATGATTATACAACAATATTCAATGAACCACATACCTGACCAACAGAGCCAAACCGATACATCACATTTTCTCCTGTGCTATCTGAAGATGGGGGTGACCAATATGGATCAAAAGCAACTCCACTCACCTGCAAAAATCCAGTTCAAACAGGAAGGGGCATATAAAGATCACCAAAAAAAGGAAATATAAGAGCAAAGGGGGGCTTTGGCAGTTGGACAAGAAGCATAGTAGCATGCTAGCTAATCAAATTCATGCTAGCTAATCAAATTCTAGAGAAAAAAAATAGGAATCAACCATCCCAATCTAAGAACACCTTTCCCATTGGGCCCTTCCCATCAGCTCAAATGAAGATGACCAGATCAATTTTGTATTCTTTGTCTCCACCTCCCTAAATAATAAGAAATGGCCAGAAGGAGGCTCACCCATGAATTGTGCCCCTCACCCCAGGCTATAACCTTGCGATCTTCCATGCTCCAAACTTGAACTAGATCATCCTCACCACCAGTCAAAATATATTTACCATCCATGCTATGTGAAGAAGAAAATTTCAAGTCAATTGCAATTCTTGAGAGAATAGTATGTTGTAATGAATAATAAACACAGAATTGGCAAGGCATATATCAAATCTATACATATAAAGCTCTCATGAGTCATAACATAATTTGTTGACATTACCTCCATGCACAACAGAGTATAGCACCATAATAACTTTTTCCTCCACATACTAGCAGTTCTTTCTGGTAGTCAAAAACTCTTAAAAAGCCTACAAAGCATAACTACGTCATTGATGAATAAGCATTATATGGGATCAAACTCAAGTGTGTATAAAAAATACCATCTCTCCCAACAACAGCCAAATGAGTGCCATCAACGGAGAATGCCATTCTATTGATTGAACCTTGACATATATGCCATCTAGAAATAGGATTGCTCTGCAATCATAATCATTCATGAGAAATCAGACAGGCAGTAACATATGGCTAACAAACTAACCCTATAATTGCCAGTATCACTAAAACCAGTCAATTTCACCAACAAAATATTGTATCCAAAGACCAACTTTCTCGATCCAAATTTCACACACAAGTTAGAAACACAAGAATGTGCAATTACATTAATCAAACATTACAAAGAATAAATACACCATTCAACGCGTGATTTAATCATGAATTCCTAAACTAATAATCCCTCTGTTTAGTGTTACAACTGCCTTGTCAGGTTTTTTTTATTTATTTTTTATTTTTTATTTTTTATTTTAAATAATTATTACTACTATTTCTCTCCTTTCACCTCTCTTACTTAGCTTTTCAATAAACTATTTACTTCATTATATTTTCTTACAATTTCTTAGTACTCTATCTACCCCACTTACCTCTTATTATAAATTACAATAAAGTCAAGTAAACCTCCTAGAACTATGTATCGGTCAAAATGTAACACTTAGAAAAATTGAAGGGAGTGCCATTTTTAGGATGAATATCTAACGCTTAAAGCTAGTCCCTAGGGCTGCCCATATCACTACCGAATTTGACAAGATTCCCATAGCACAGATTAGGTCCTCATGGTCAAATGATCTTAACCAGCTATATTAATACAAGATATTTTTAAGGGTGGATAGAATTATGACAGATCCTGTGAAAATAACAGCAAGATAGCACATACTGGAACATCCATTCTTAATCTCAGGATTACTTGTACATCAATGTGACACAATGCACAAATCCAATGTAAATACATTAGTACAAAACCTTGACAGAAGTCCCCAAGTTAACAAAATGTATAACTAAATGATTTAACACATTCTCAGCAATTAAAAGGGGGAAATTACAGTACATAGGCTGTGCTCCAAACATTCCTGGTTTCTACATTTTGTTTCCTTTAGGACACATTCATTGAAGGCACTATGAGGGAGCAGGGGCAAAATTCATCAGTAGAAGAGGTCAAGCTTCTCAGTTTATAAGTAGTACCTCACCTTGCTAGATTTTGCATGTGCAATAGAAAATTGAGTCGGATCCTTTATGAGTGGGAAAGACGAATCAACAGTAGCATCCTTCCCCTAAAAGATAGTAAAAATACAGTTCTCTTGAGCAATAACGTAAAAGATAAATAGAAGAGAGGACAAAGAACTTAAAAATCACTTATATGAAACTTGCCTTCTCATACACATACACGTTTCCATCAGCATGAGCAACAACAAAGAAACCATTGACTTGAGGGACCCATGCTACACTGGTACACCGGCTGCTTTAAAATTTAAATTGTCACATGATTTGATCAAATAGAGTATAAAGAACAAGGGAGCACATAAATTTTATGTAATGGATAGGCAAGAACTTTAATGTTCACATGAGCAGTTGCAATATACAAGCAAGATAAACACATCATCCATTCTACAACATGTGGCATATTATGGTAGTGTTCTCTTCACCTGAATTTCATTGATCTTAAAATTATCTTATTTTATTAGTTATGAACTCATATTATCTAATTTGAACTTTTCAAACCTTGTGGGTCTTATCTTATCTTATTATATCAGAGCTTATTAGACCTTATTGAGCCTTATATGTCTTATTAGACCTTATTGGAACTTGTTTTATCTAATCTATAACTTATCAACCCTTATCATATATTATTTGAACTTATTAGCCCTTATATTATCTTATATAAAATTATTGGCCCTTAATACAACTTATTAGGTCTAAAATAAGTGAAAATAAGATGAGGAGAGCAGAACAGAGCTTGAAAGATAGAATACTTCCTCCGTTTTTTTTAGTTGCATCATTTGTAAAAACACGGATTCTTAGGTAGTTTATGGAGATAAGAGAGATAGAGAGAGGAAAAAGAGGACTCGTGTGATATGAGAGAGATAGAGAGAATTTATCAATAGAAAAAGAAAGTGATGCATCTAATTTGAAACTTCCTTATTTAAAAAGTGATGCATCTAAAAAGAAACGGAAGAAGTATAATAAGTAACTACATAACTTAAACTTTAACAATGAACAAAACTGACATACCAGATAAGCATATCAAGTTGAGCACACATTAAAAGTGGCTATACCAAATATGAAATTTAATAGACAACAACAAACTTCTAAAACTAAGATGGGGTTTTATGCATCTTCATGAAAAAAAGGGACAAACAGAGTAGAAAGTATACGTAAAATAAAAAGTGCTTATAATAATGTATTATGAGTTTGAGAATATTTAGTACCACAGCCACAGAAACAGCTACATCTTAGCATATGATATCTTGCATGACTAAAGACCAGTGTTAATAGCTAGAAGGGCTTCAGAGCAAGTCAGTGCATGATAACAGAATTCAGCTTGTTGATATTTAATCCCCTTATAAGAAACACTGTTTCCTTGAGAAAACAAATTCAAACCGAAGCCCAATATAGATCTTTGTCTAGGCTAAAATTTGGCTCGTATTCCAGTTTGAGCAAAACTGTTTATTAATTTAGAGCACTTGAATGTTTGTAAACAGCAGACAACCAAAGGAAGAATATGTCAATGATATGTAAGTTGCAAAGCTTAACAGTAGACTATCAAGAAATTATACTTGGTCTTGGGATACATTTGTAAATCTTAGTTCCACACCTCAAACAATAAATTGACGATATGGAGGGAAAGAGCATTTCCATCAAAGCTCAAAGTATAACACATCCAAATAATATAACTATACCCTTAGTGAACTAGACCAATAAGTAATTATGACTTTATGACTTTCTCTCATACTGCATGCATAGAAACAACTTTAAATCATAAAGACAGCTTCAATCGGAGGTTTCCACATAGATTGGAATAGGTCGGCTAAGACAGTGGCTTCTACTTTCTTAATGAGGTTTGGGTTTTAATAAATTACTAAACTAATGAGCCACAAAGAGCCATAAAAACATAAATGAATGAGAGACAACTAAGTGTCCACCACCCTGTGTAACTTCAATAATGGATTCCAATAAGTGCATTTGACATCTGGCAATCACTTTCAAGTTATACAAGACAGATTGCAAGATAAGAGAAATGAGCTAGCAACTAAAGATCCCCCCACCCCTGAAAAGTGTTTATAAGGAGGAATTTGCAAAAGGTTATGGTGTAAAGCTGCATTTGCGTTATAATTGATTATATTGGACCAAAAACCATGATAACATTATATCAACACCGTAGATAAGTCCTTAAATCTAATCAAATGAGGTTCCAAATACGAATTTAGAGAGGTGGTAGAAGCAGAAGCCAAAAAAGAAGTCTGGAAAGTAAAGAATGTTCTTAATCCACTTTAGTATGCTAAAACTCAATAGTTGTAAAATTTGACAGAATCTATGAGCCGAAGAAACAACATATGAACCCATATTGAGATGACAGCATTATGCAAATCAACTAAAGATACAAAACCCTGAAAATGAAATAATCACACGATCAAGTAATATTTAATGCAGAATGTAGGTCTTGCCTGTTATTAATGGAGCCATCTTTGTTATAGTGATGTGCTCCAACAAGCTTCTTTCCAATATCTTGCAACTGCTGTCTTAAGGAAACTGTGTACACTGCAAAGATAAAGGTAGATACAAATATTTAGTCATTTCAGGGCAATAAAAAGTAAATAAATATCAGCCAAGAAGCAAAGAAATACCATCTCCAGAGTTTAACCCTATCAGTAAGTCATGGCCGTCCTTAGCTTCAGGATTAAAGGTATGACAAACAGGATTTGAGCTTGCAAAGTGTATGGATTTAATGGGATCCTACATAAGCACATGCATCTCTTAAGTCACAAAATGTTTATTCCCAGATTAACTTAACAACATCAGAATGGGGTAAGGATTAGATTGAAAAAATAATAATCAATAAATAAATAGATAAACAAATGATTAGATAAATAATAAGCCTTACCTTCTCCTGCGAATTTAGGTCGCTAATATACAAAGTGTCACCCACATTATATATTATGTACATTCCTTTACCATCAAAACTGGTAATGGGCGAGCTGCTACCATTACTGGAACTTCCAAATGTAGCAGTTTTCGTAGCCGCAGCAACAGCTTTATTAGCTCCATTACCTCCTACAAAACTTAGAGCTCGCCCTCCATTATTCGAGCCTAACAACTTTGCAGCAGCTGACCTTACGCTACTACTTGCACTATAACCTGAGCTTGACGTGGGTGTTGATGAAGCTATTTTTTCCTTGAGATTAGCTAATGTTACCTGAAAATAATTTTCCAGCAAATAACAACAAAAAACTAGGATGGGTTTAATCAGAAACCAAATAAAAAAGATGTATTGTTGAATACTATTCATAGTCTAGTCATCATAACTTATAAAATAGTGTCCAAGATCATTGTAAAAGAGGTTGATCGCATTTAAGAAATGTTATTTGTTCCAACCACAATAAGGGGGCACTTGGTATGAGGTAGAGAGAAAAGGAAAAGGAAATGAACACGGCTTATTCCCTTTGTTGTTTTAGGACATTTTAATCATTCACTTTACCCTCTCCTTACCCCCCAACTATTCTACTTTAATACCCCCATGGTATTTCCATTCCTTTTCTTTATGTCACCAATGTACCACCACACCATCAATGCACCACCACCGCCCCACCACTACCACTCACTGGAACCGCCCCACCACCACCGCTTTCACCATCTCTGCCCACCACCGTTACCCTCACCAGAACACAAAACACCACCGCCTCAACCTACCAAAAACCACTCCTCCCAAAAACCCGAAACCACCCCTCCCAACAACCCAAAACCACCCCCACCCACCCAAAAAATACTCCACCCACCCCCACTCCCAAACTATACCCACCCACCCACTCAAAAATCACCCCCACCACCTTGAAAACCCACCCATACCCACTCATAACCAACAACACCATCCAAAAATCCACAAAATAAATTTCGTAAAGAAATTATAAGAAATAAAAAAATAAAATGAAAACATACCTTCTTCTTATCATCAATTATGGTTTTAGATGGTCAGTTTTGATCAATTATAACAATAGTGGTGGCAAAATAGTTAGAAAAGGAAGGAGAACGACAAAGGTGCGGTGGTTGGAAATGGGCGTGGTGGGGCTAAGGTAACTAAGGGCGATGGGGTGAGTGGTGGTTAGGGATGGCAATCCAATCCAGGTTCGATCCAACTCCGACCCGATCCGAAGTTGTTCGATTGAAATCTGAAAATAAAAAAAATCCGAATCCGAATTCAAAAAGTAAGGTCCGGATTCGAACCGGACTCAGGTCAGATTCATTTTTATGTTTAATTCTATGCAAATAAAAGCCAAAAGGGCCCCAAACCTAAATCTCTCCGCCTCCCACAACATCTGCTACCACTTTCTCAGTCTCTCTCTCTAAACCTACACACTCTTTCTATCTCTAAACCCATGCTACTCTCTTCTCTCTCTGTTCCAAAACTAAATTACACAATCTCCATCTCTACAAAGTCTTGAACAAAGTAATTCTTCCACCAAAATAGCCATGGTCTTCATCAAAGTTATGGTTACAATGAATTATTTACAAGGGCACAACAACATTTGGAGAAGATAGTTTTAGATCTAGAATTTGGTGATTTTTTTTTATTTTTTTAATTTGTCGATTAAAAATATAAGGTACGAGATTTTAATTGTGTACTAAAACCAGAAGTATTGGTTGTATTTTTAATTTAAGATCTCAAGTTCATAATTGTAAGATACGTATAATATTTCTTTGTAATTAATTTCATTATCATTCTTCAGATTTTTGCAAATTAATTCTAAATTTGGGTTGAAACTTGAAGAAATTTGTGAAATATATACAGAAGAAATGTCGGATTCGGGTCGGACTTGGAGGTTGTAAAGTCCATTTCGGACCGGATTCAGAGTTGGTGGTTTCGAATCCATATTCAGAGTCGGACTTGATTTTAGAGTCCGATTGCTAATCGTATCGAATCTGAATCTCACTGACTCCGACCCGAATCCGACATTGCCATTCCTAGTGGTGGTGACACAATATAGAGAGTGTGAAGTATGGTTTAACAATGCTGGGAGATAAATATATGTTCAGTTACCAAACAACACTACTCATCAAAGGGAGTTACTTTCCATTCTCCTTCTTTCCCTTTCCTATTGATGTACCAAACACCCTCTAATTTTATCCTGGGTAGGGGATCTAACTCTAATTTAATGATTTCATCTATAATCTTGCACTCGATGAAGAAATTTTTTTTTTTTTTTTTTTGGGGTGGTGGGGTGGTGGGGGAATTCCTTAAGCAGTTTTCTCTGAATTTGACTTGTAAAAGGTTCATGGAGACTTGAATTAAAAGTCATCAAATAATGCCTTAACTTATTTGATTTTTTCGCTAACTTCACAAATGTTACAACACATTGTTCTACTTTTGTTTCTCTTCAATTCTAATAAATTCCACCCTTCTAAAGGAATTATGCAAGAGTATCCTATTTCCATACTTTGCACGGAATACCTTTCAGCACTTATCCATAAGGCTTACACTTCAAAATCTTTGTCCTCTTTTAGGCTGGCCAAACAAATGAATGGGCATAAAAGTAACTCTCTTCTCTCACAAGTAACAATACCAATCTTGTTGAATTAATGTTTGTAAGGAAACTCTCAACATTCAGTCTGTTATGGACATTCCGTTTCCCCTAACCCAAAGAATGCCTTCAAATAGCTTTGCTAATCCAGTCAACCCTTAAAATATTGTAAAGATACTTCATTCGAGGAAAAGGCTTTTCCAACTACATTCTCAAAAAGCTTGATTCAATTTTAAAAAACTTCTTTTAAGGGTGAAAAAAATGAACTGGATTGCTTGGGAGAAGATTTGTAAACCAAATGAGGGAGGGGGAGGTAGTTTTATAATTTATACAATGTCCTTAGCAGAACTAGCCTGGATAGAGTTTGTTAGAAGTGTCATGACATAATAGGGTAATTGCCTTCATGGTGGAAAACATTGCTCTTATAGACCTTAACTCCTGAGTTTCAAGAAAAAAAAAAAAAAAAAAAAAAGACTCCTGTATCTGGAAAGGGATGGGAGTAGGATAATAAATCTATAAAGGAAATTCCAAGTTGAAAAATAGAACATCCAATGTCAAAGCCTATGACAATGCAAAATAACCCAAATGATTCCATCTTTCTTACAAGGATTTCATTAACATTTCCACTTGTGGTAATGGGTGGTAATAAAAATTGATGAAGAAAGATTAAGTTTAGAGATAGGATTGCATTACCATGGACGTAAAGATAATACTTTGCCTTGCAAAATTACAATTTGTATGTTTTTGTTTTTGGCTGGTGACATTGTATTGGTGGACGAGACTAACATTGGGGTAAATGTTAAACTAGAGCAATGGAGACACGTGTTGGAATTGAGTCAAACTAAATCAGAGTACATGGAATGCTGATGTAGCAATCGAGGGAGACAAGCCGAGATATAGTCCTTGTGGACAGGACGAAGTTGTTGAAGAACAAGTCTTATAAAGCTATGACTTATGAGTACCTTCAATCGATTTTACAGAAGTAGCAAACAAGATGTGAACCAAATGGAGAGCTACAATTGGGGTGTTGTGCGGCAAGGGCATAGCCTTGGCGTTAGAGGAAAAAAAAAAATCATGACGACTATAAGACTAGCATTATTATATGGATCTAAATGTTGGGCTTCAAGGACTATGTTAGAAAGATGGGAATAGTATAGATGCTGATGTTGAGATGGATGTGTGGGTACACTTGAAGGAATAACATTAGGAATGAAAACATTCAAAGGAAAGTTGGAGTTCCAGATATTGAAGGTAAGATAAGCGAGAATCAATTACGTTAGTTTAACATGTGAAACGAAAACCGAAAAAAAGCTACGGTAAGGAAAGTAAAAAGGTAGGGGACCCAAGATGATTGGATGGAAGGAGTTATCAAGTAAATGAAGAATTTGGGTTTAGAGGAATACATAGCACTAGAGAAGGGAATGGAGGGAGCGGATCATGGTTAACAATGAAATCTTGCTACTGCAATGTTACACTTAAATTCATTCTCTTTACTATCAATTGTTACTACCTCTCAACTGGCCCATAAGCACAATGCCACAATTAAGGATATGAAAGCTGACTTAAAAAGAAAATTAGATTTCCTAATCTAGAAAAATAGAGAATGAATCAATACTACCGCCTTCAATGAGGATTGAGGAGGATAGGTTGTGGATGTTTCTTAATCTAATACTTCGTATGTCCAAAGAAGTAGGAGTTACTGGTATCAGCAGGAATAAGCATCCGGAAATCATTCTGTGATAGAGCACTGGAAGCAGTAATCCCTGGAATACTCCAAGCACTGTAATAGGCATATCAACAAGCACTACGAACATTGCATCATCGCCTCAGACCCCATAAAAAGGCAATTGATGAAATGACAAACCACCTCAGATTCAAACCAAACTAAGTTTATCTAAATGCACAAAATTCACAAGCCAACTACCAGGATGATTCAAATTCGAGTACTAGGGCACTCGAACAAATGTATCAACAGATGCATTAGCTAAGACTATATTTTGCAAAAATGTACTGTATTTTACTTGAGCCCCATTGAATTGTACTACGTATTAATACTTGAACTCGACGCTGAAATTAATATGCCATTGAATCCATCTTCGGGAATTCATTTTAATTTCAACAATAGATTATCAAGGTCAACACAAATTCCACAATTTAAAAATTTACTCAATCACAAAACTAATAATCGAAAACATCTTATAATTAAATGCAACAATATCACATCACACTAACATCGATAAAACAATCAATCGATCAAATAACCAATTCAATCACAAAATCATCAATCAAAAACAACTTACAATTCGATATCAAATATCATCAAATAATTACAAATAATCCGCAAAAACAATGAAATTGAAGAGAGAGAAAGAAACCTGAGAGACGGTTTTGCCGTGAGAATAATGGAGAAGAGTAGAAGGATGAGACTTCTCGGAATGAAGAGTATAACGTCCTTCGGGAGTTTTAAAGTAGGCTTTGAGTCCGGCGGTGGCGGGAGAAGATATGCCGCCGTTGACGGTGGCGCTGTTGGTGGTAGTGGTGCTGCTATTACTCATGGTTTCGGCAATGACGACGACGACAATGACAATAATAGGAGATGAATCTAAAAGTGTAGCATAACTAATAGGAAAATTTAACAGGAATAATCCAACTTTTTGTCCGTTCTCCCGTATTAATCTCACCTTTTGATTATTCCTCGTTAATTCAACTTTTGCCCCCTTTTCTCACAGCAACCCTTGCAGGTAACCTATCCAAACCACCCTGTTTTCTTCTTTCTCTCTCTTCCCCCATCACCAGATTCACCATCATAGCCACCACCATCCTTCTTTCTCTCTCCTTTCCTTCCATGGCCTCTTCCTCCATTACCACTTCACCTCCCCTTTAATGTACCCAACAACAACACCTCTTCTAGCCACCACAAACCTCCAACCACCACCAACACACATGCCACCACCACCCCTCACCTCACCGTCAACCGTCGCACAGAACCTACACACCCACTCATCCTACACAACCGCCGAACCTGGCAAAACCCCGGTACAATTAAAATAAAACCCACGCTCACACCCATCACAAACCAACCTCTCGGAAACCAATGCGTTCGGCGGTTGTGTAGGATGAGGGGTTATTCCGATGGTGTGGCGGTGGGTTTTGGGGGGCTGAACTCCTTCCCCCTTTTTGCTCTCCTACCTTCCTCCATTCACCACCCTTTACGGAGAAAAGGGGGGTCGTGGCCATTTGTACGGTGATGGCAGAAGCAGCGGTGGCTGGTGCAATTGGGGTTGCGACGGTGGTTGTGATGTGTGGACGGTCAGCAGGCGATTGATGGTGTGCTGATGGAGAGGCGCCTCTGATTATGGTGGTTTGATTTAATTGTGTGATGGAGGTTGCGAGTGAGGGAGCAGGGGAGGTTGTGTGTGGGTGTTGAGGGGCAAGGAGGCTACGGGGAAGGGGAGGGAAAGCAAGGTGGCTGAGGGGGACGGGCAGTGACATGTCTGCTAGGAGGAAGGGGCAGGGGTGGTTGGGGGAGGAGGAAGAAAGAATTGAAGGGGAAGATAAAATGGAGGTGGAGCTTTGGGTGGTGGTAATGGAGGAAGATGATGGCAAATGGTAAGAGGAAGGAGATAGAAGGGATGACCAGTTGTTTAGGTAACCGGTTATTTGGGTGTGATATGGGAAGAAGGGGTATAAAGGTTGGATTAATGAGGAATAATCAAAAGGTGGGATTAATATGGGAGAACGGACAACAGGTTGGATTATTCCTGTTAAATTTTCCTAACTAATATTTGTTCATTTGTTTACGGGTCGAGAGAAAGAAAAAGTAATTGGAAAATGAAAATTACTATAGTAGGGATTCGTTAAATATGGCCCCCAAATTTCTACATAAAATCCATAATTATTTTAACTTTGACACGTTTGCCCTTTTTCTTATTTTTACCGAAAACGTAATTCTCTCTCTCGAAAAATGTAGAGCCGGACTGGATCGTCGAGGGACGCCGGAGAGCCGTTATCGTCGCCGGAAAGCGAGGTACCTTGTAGTTTGAAATTACGAAATGCTGGCCAGCGGATGGCCTAACCGCCGCCACCGTGGCGTGGCGTCTTGCCGGAACGCTGCCACCGCGGTTGCGGCACCTGGCAGGACGCCACCACCATGGTAGTGACATCCTGTCCAGGCGCCACAGCCACGCTGGCGGCGTCCCGGCCAGGCGCCACCGCCACGATGGCGACGTCCCGGCCAGACGCCACCACCACATTTCGTAATTTTTTTTAAAAAAAAAAATTATTAAAAGTTTTTGTTTTTTTTTTTTTTTTTTTTTTTTTTTTGGTTTTTTAACTTTGATAAATTTGAAATTAAATATGTGGTAATAATTTCAAAAAAAAAAATAATTAAAAGATAAATTTGAAATTAAATATGTTTTAATTTTTTATGTGTAAATTTATGTTTTAAATATGTGTTAATAATTTCAAAAAAACATAAAATTTTGTTTTAATTTGAAATTATGTTTTGAATATGCGTTAACAAAATTATGTTTTAATTTTGTATGTGTAAATTAAATATGTGTTAATAATTTAAAAAAAATAAATAAATTATGTTTTAATTTTGTATGTGTATGAATACTTTTATACATAATTATGTGTTAATTTTGTATGTGTATGAATACTTTTATACATAATTATTTGTTAATTTTGTGTTAATTATGTGTAAATTTAGAAACTAAATGTATTATGCGTTAAATATAGAAATGAAATTTACAAATAAAAAATTTAGATTTTTCGTATGTGTTAATTTTGTGTTAAATGTATTAATTTAATCTTTATATAATTCTATGTATTTAAAAATTATTTAATTATTGTAGGATTTTGGTGGAGACGGTGTTGATTACAGTGAGATTTTTGTACATGATGGTCCCTTCGAAGATGCTCAACAAGCGATTGATTGGGCAAAACAGGTTGCAATTAGATCTGGTTTTTGTTTAGTAGTAACAACTCATAAATCTCAGCGGGATGGTAGAATGGATCGCATTTTGAGATGCGACCGTTATCGCAAAAGGGAGGAACGAAATTTCAGTACATCGATTCGGTTTGATACAAAGCGGAAAGGTTGTGGGTGTGAGTTCAGAGTAAAGGTTCGGCAACAACAAAGTCGTGACGGTTGGGAAGTGAAGGGTTACTCTAAATGGGGGTATCACAACCATGAGATGATAGTATATGAAGTGGGTCATCGACAGTTAAGCGGCCTAAGTCCTGCTGCAAAACTAGTTGTCAAAGAAATGTGTGATGCTCAAGTTAAGCCTGCTAAAATATTAGCATCTGTGTTAGAGAAATTTTCTGAAGACCAGCCAAACCAAAGACACATCTACAACGTCAGACATAAACTGAGGTTTAAACGGTCAGAGGGAAGGAACCCTATTCAGCAGCTTCTATACCAGACACAAGCACGTGGTTACCTGTTCTGGTTTAATTCTGATGAAGAGACATCGAAGGTGACTCATTTATTCCTTGTGCATCTTTATTGTGCTGATATGATCAAGTCTTGGCAATCTGTGATTTTGATCGATTCAACATACAAGATAAACAAGTACAAGTTCCCACTGGTTGAGATGATTGGGATGGCTCCAACGAACCAGAACTTTCTAATTGGTTATGCAGCCATTAAGGATGAGACGGCTGCGAGTTATTATTGGGTGTTGGAGGAGTTGAGAAACTACATCGGCCCTAATGTTCAGCCATCAACCATCGTCAGTGATTGTGAGGGAAGTCTCTTTGCCCTCATAGCGGAGCTGTTTCCATAATCGAAGCATTTACTGTGCACATGGCACATCAACGACTGTGTGAAAGTCAAAGCCTACAACCTTTTCAACAAGAATTTAGATCCAGGAGAGAGATTGGTAAATGGTAAGTGGCGGAAGATCCCGCAAGCTACCACAGAGGCAGAGTACGATCGAGCCTTGGATAACTTTAGGGATGCGTACCAATGGTGTCCGGCAGTGGTAAACTATATGATGCAACATTGGATACCTCACAGGGAAAAGTTTGTCAAATATTGGACAAACCAAGTTCTTCATTTTGGAAACACTACAACATGTAGAGTTGAGAGCGCTCATAGAGCTTTGAAGGACTGGACTGATTCTTCCACCTCTGCTCTGGATACACTGTTCGAGAGAATAAACAAGGCTATTGATACTCAGAAGAACGACATCAAGAACTCTCTCGAGGACTATAAACGGTGACATGGTATGATGTATTTCCATTTCATATTTAAGATTCTCCACGGTCGTGTGTCACACTACTGCTTGGGGTTGATTCTGAGCGAGCACAACAGGATGAAGGAGTTGGGTGATGAAGTGGATATTCGGTGCGGATGTGCTATATCAGTGACTCATGGACTACCTTGTGCATGCACCATTCACCGTGTAATTACCCAAGATAGGGCGTCGTTACATGATGATCAGGTTCATCCATTCTGGCAGACTCGTTATTGGAGAGCATGCTGCTCCACAGACGGTCGACCGTGAACAGGAGTAGTTAGAGCAGTTTTGTTCGATGTTTGGCCGAGTGTCCTCCAGTCACACTTCAATCATTCGTGATGCTACCCACATACTTCATGACATGTTCAACACGTCATGCTTGGATCACGAGGAACCTGAAGGGGTCGAGCGACCTAGAGGTCGACAAGCACGGCAGAACATGAGTGCGTTTGAGTACATTCGTGGTCGTGGTCGTTCATTGTCATCCAGTCGTAGCCAATCTTCTTAGTTGGTGAATATGCCCGGAACCGGTACAGTACTTTAATTTACTTTTTAGAATGTTTGTTTAGTTTACTACTGACTTGTTAATTGTGTTTATTGATATGTGCAACAGGAAGTGAATATTGATTGATTAGTTTCCATATAAGGACAGGATTCCTAACATCATCATGGAATACTTGGACGGGTGGAATGATGTGGTTGCAGATGGTAACAGCGGATTCCAGGTCGTGGCTGATGTGTTTCAGATGGGTGAAGACAACTATGCTTTAGTGCGTCAGTTGATGTACAGTGAAATTGCCTTAAACCGAGATGTTAATCGTCATGTGTACGGCAAAGACTTGGATAGTTCTCTGCGGCGTATCCGGTGGGGAAGAGGACCTTGCGGTCAAAATCATTGGTTCGACACGCCACTTGATCTCTTTGCCGTTACAAACATCTACAAGTGTGCAGTCATGCATTTTGGGCTTGGTTTGCATAGTTGAGCTTATTTTCCATGTACCACGGTTCTCCCTTGGTCTTCGCATGAGACTATCACTAGACCGGTAAGAGAGTTAGCTATTGCATTTCTAGGGTCGTCATACAGACATTTCATCTGATCGGACCTGTCATCCGATTTTCAGTGGCATCGATCATACCTCGGTGGTACACCATTCGCACACCAAGCGTAGAGGGGTTGGGATGTGCTGTATCATGACCGGATCCATCAATGGAACAACCTAGCTGCATTTTAGTTTTTCTAGCATATACCTTTCCTATGTAACCTTGTATTTGTATTGCTATTTTTATACAGACATTTATTTTTTGTATTCTAATTTTGACTAAATTTATATCTTGCATGCATACTAATTAGTATTTGCGGGTTACAAACTACAAAGATACTGTCAAATTTTAAAAACTTAAAATGATAATGTCAAATATTACAAACTTAAACGATAATGTCAGATTTTACAAACTACTATGATAATGTACAAAATGATCTATACATAAACTGCCAACAAATCAGCAATCCCTCTTTGACGCCCACTGCCACAGCGTAAGGGCCTGGTCCAAATCATCAATAGCAGCTCTACCTGATGCAGTCGTCATGTTGTTCCTCTCTTGAGAGAGTCTTTGTCCCACCTGCATCATCTTTCCCATCCACTACACACAACAAAAAACATAATATTCAATAACGATATATAATTCTAAAAACAAACAAACACAACAATAGATGTTTTATGAGACATACCGCATCCACGGCAGTGGGCGGTGGCACATCATGATCATCGGCGTCGTCGCCATGGTCGAGGTCTCTGATCAACCTTAGGTGCGAATACCGGTTGTACCATTCCATGCAGTGCTGGTCACACATGGCACTCACCCCAGTTGGTGGCCTCTACAGCTTCGCAGTCCATAGGCGGGCAACCATCGGAAACTGTTCCCACATAGCAATCATGCTTTTCGGCCATTAGATGACATACTCCTTCGACGACGCAGATCAGACCGCCTTACTTGGCTATGCTGGTGGAGGAGGGACAACTTGGACAAATCCAAGCTGGCGAAGACAACGCTGGGGCATGTACGCCTCTACGATCTCACGATACTGAATGAGTCCCGTGTAGAGGGTCCTAGGTACCCTATTACTAGGGTTCTGGCCGAAAGGCATCCAGTTCACCTGCAAATTTTTTCAAATTAGTAAGATTCATATAATAAATGCATCACAATATAAACTTATAAATAATTTATACACTTTACCTCTAAGGGGGACATCCTGTCAAGCAATAACCGTATCGATCAGAGGCGGTCTGTGGACTTCTTCTTGAACCACGGACTCCACGCCCTAACACGTGGCATCCCATCCCCAATAGGAAGTGGGTCGTGGTGTGGTCGAAATGCAGGAAAAAACTCGTATATCCAAGTCTGTAATAAAGTCAGACATCCAGTGATACCTGCCGCGTTAGCCCGACTAGAAAATCCTAGTTGGTGATACAGATACGCCAACGTAGCCGAGCCCCAAGAAAACTGGCCTACTCTGTCGGGCTCACACACGTCAACTATGTCGCATGGCCTGAGCTTGTTTCCGCTCTTATCCGGAAACAAGGTACACCCGAGGAGAAGAAAAACATATGCAGCCAGCTGTGCGTCATGCGTCCTACGTGCAGTGGGGTGCCAAGACGGATGCGATCTTCACACTGCCGTGATCTTAAACACCAAGTGCCCCGGTGTACAGCGCAACCCTGTCCATCGCCAACAGCTCCGCCAACAAATCTGTCTGATTCGTATCAGTCACAATAGAAAGTCGTTTTCCCTCTCCGCGAATTCTAAGGATGGCCTCGATGTCATGCAACATGATTGTCATCTCACCGAACGGAAGGTTGAAAGAGTTCGTATCCGGCTGCCGTCGCTCAACGAAAGCCGTGATCAGCGTTGAGTCAATCTTATCGTGCATGGTGGCAGGAAGGTGACTCACTCTAGTGCCCTGCAATCGGCCGAACATCTCGCTCTCCTCCGGCCAAGCCTCAGCCCAACTACAGTGGACGCAGATGATGTGCCAGATCTACTAACAAATCTACCATCTCTACCCTTACGCACATCTACTCTATGCGTCTCATACATATCATTAAGCCTTTGACTGAATGGACCTTAATCATCATATGGTCCACTCTGATCGTCCACATCCTCATCTGCATCCTCCTCATCCTCCTCACCATCATCATCTTCATCCTCCTCAAGATGGTGAACCCGTTCTCTGTGAGCCGAGGCCGAAATACCATGGGATCTAGCATGTCTGGGTCCTGAGCTCTGCATTGAGTAGTTTCTACTTCTAATAACTTCCATACTCTTCCTCGCACCAGGTCAAAAATGCAATACCTAACTCCATTAAAAAAATTAAAAATATATATATACATAAAAAAAATTAGAAAAAAATAACTAACCAAAAAATAAATCAAATAAACAAAAAAATAATAACAAATTGACATAAAAAAAAATAACAGAACACTAAAAAAATATTAAAAAAATACACACAAAAAGAAAAAAAACCAAAACATACAAAATATATATAAACATAAAAAAAATTAAAAAAAAAAACTAATAAAAAAAAAATATCAAATAAACAAAAAAAAATACTAACACATTGACATAAAAAAAAATAACAAAACACTGAAAATAAAAAAATAAAAACAAAAAAATACAAAATAAAAACAAAAAAATTACCAAAACATACAAAATAAATATAAACATAAAAAAATTACAAAAAAAAATTAAAATACAACAGAATTGGAAAAAAAAATATAAAAATAAACAAAAAAAATACAAATAATTGAAAAGGAGATATAAACATAAAAAATACAACAAATTTGAAAAAATATATAAAAATAAACAAAAAAAATTGAAAAAAAAATATAAACATAACCAAAAAAAAAACCAAAAAAAAATTAAAAAAAAGGGAGGTGGCGTCCCAGCCACCAGCCCCACGGCGGATGTCGCTGGATAGAACGCCAAGGCCACGGCGGCGGCGCCCTCGCAAGACGCCACCACCGTGGCCTTGGTGTCCCGACTAGCTGCCGTTGCCATGGGTTTGGCGTCTAGGCTTGGGCGCCGCCACCGTGGCCACGACGTCCTGGCTAGGTGCCCCGCCCTCTTCGAGGTTTTTTTTTTTTTTTTTTTTTTTTTTAATTTTTTTTTAAAAAATTACCTTGCCATCGTGTGACCGCCTTCCCTCCGCCTCTGCCACCGCCAATTCCTTGCCTTATCGCCTCGACATTTCGTGGTTTGAATTTTTTTTAGAGAGAAGTGAGAGTAGAGAGAAGATGAGTTTTTTTTAATATATAAGGGCAAAAGTGTCAATTCACCTAATTTTTGTGGGCTTTATGTAGAGAATTGCGGGCGATGTTTAGTAGTTCATTAGTGAAAGGGGGGAGAGAGAGTTTTGTGAATTGATGTTAAAAGTACGGAGTATTAAATATTAAAATTCCCTCTAGGGTTACGGTTCTTGGGAGGGCCTCTCTAGCCGTCTGCTAGTTTTCGCCTTTGTTTTCGAAGGTTTTTCCCTCTTTCTAGTGTGAGTTTTACTGTGCTTTTCTCATCTCAATCATGGCAGATGATAATGATCCAAAAGTAATTGCAAATAAAGATGGAGAAAAGGAGGATTGCGAATTAGAGTTTGGCTGGGAGGTGGTCGGACGGAGAAGAGGAGGATGAGGCAAAGGTTTCATTAGGGATGGTGGGTAAGATATGGACCGAAAGGCATGTCAACGTGAATGCCTTAATTTTGACTATGAAACGGATATGGAACCCTAAACATGGAATGGAAGCAAATTGTATCGAGAAAAATGTCTTATTCTTCCAATTCCACCATTGGAAGGATAAGGAATTTGTGTTAACTTCTCAACCATGACATTTCGATAGGAATACTTTTGCTCTAAGTGAAATTATTAGAGACTTGAAAGAAATCGTCCGAAATACCCCTGTTCCATACCCCATTTTGGATTAGGATATACGATTTGTCGATATTGGGGCAAAATAATGAAGCGAATGCGAGAAAAATTGGAGACAAGGTGGGAACCTTCTTGAGTGTTGATAAGTCAGACGTCATTGGGATTAATAAGTCACTCCATATTCGTACCTTAATTGATTTGAGAATGCCTTTAGTTAGGGAAGTCAACTTGAAGATGAGAGGAGGTTTCACCGAGAAATTCATGGTGAAATACGAGTAGTTTCCCTATTCTTTTATGTACGTGGGAAATTGGGTCATGGAGACAAAGACTGTGAGGAGGCTCAACATGCTGACAACCCAAAAAGAAATTATAGCGATAGGTTGAGGGCTTCACCATGGCAAATCAATAAAGGGGATGATTGTGGAGAGACAGACAAAGAGGGATCATATGCTAGACAATTGTTTGTTAAGAAGGACAGGAAGGGCGTTAATAATGAGGTAAGCAAAGGGTTAGGTGAGGTGGCCAAACAATTAAAAAATGTGGCTATCACACTCCTAACACTGGATTCCCCGACTTATGAGACACATAACAATGCAGAAGATGAGTTTGTGACTAACAATTTCATACAGAATGTGACTGATGGAGAAGGGAATAATAACTTTGTACAATCTACGCAACAGGCCCCAGACCAGAATGTTGAAGGTGTAAAGGAGGGGAGTAAATTATTACAAACAAGAAAACTAAGGAAGATCCACAAGGTAAAACATCATTTTCAGATGGAGACAGATGCAAAACCTATTGTGGGCAGAGGAAGTTAGGTGAGGATGAGGAAAATACCAGGATGGAAGAGTGTATGGTGTTTTAAAAAAAAGGGAAGTCAGATAACAAGGACGGAAACGAAGTCAACTTTTCTACAGTAGTGGAGGTTGTTATGTAACCCCGAGAACTACAATGATAGGCCTTTCGTGGAACTGCAGGGGGTTAGGGAGCCAACGTGCAGAGAACGTCGTGCTGGAAGTTGTGATTCAAACTGAATATCCCCACTTTGTCTTCCTCTCAGAGACGAAGTTAAAAGGTAAGGAGTGGGAGAGTGTGAAACGAAAGCTAAATCTGAAAATTTTTGTAAGTGTTGATTGTGAAGGTGATGGAAGGCAAAGAAAAGGGGGTCTTGCTATGTTCTGGCATGATGAAATTGATTTAACTCTGCATTCACAGTCCTTGAATCATATGGACTTCACTGCCACCAACAGTGAGGGTATACAATGGCACATGATAGGAATATGGCTATTCCGAAGTAGGTAGAAAGCAGGACACATGGAGACTGCTTCTTTATCTAAATACGATATGCTCCTTGCCATGAATGTGCGTGGGTGATTATAACGGGATTTTGAGTCATGACGAGAAGATGGGTGGAAACATAACTCAACAGAGCTTGATTGATGGTTTCAGGGATGCGGTTGATAAATGTAAGTTACGTGACTTACACGTGGAAGGATATAGGTTCACCTGGTCGAATAATAGGGAAGGTGGGGAAAATATCCAAGAACATCTTGACCACGCTCTTGTCTTTGACTTGTGGTTTGAGAAGTTCCCATGCTCAAAAGTGGAGCATCTTTCCAGAAGAAAATCTAATCATGCGCCCATTAACATTACAATACAAAAACAGTTGCGTGTGAATAACAGAAATAAGCAGAGAAAACGTGGGTTTCGCTTTGAGAAGAAGTGGCTTAGGGATGATGAATGTGGAAACATTGTTGCCATTTCGTTGAGTTTGGGTGTGGATTATGACGTTTTGAGAAAAATAAAAACTTGTGCAAATAATCTGAATTCCTGGAGCAAATCCCGTAGCTATGATTTTTCGGAAGAAATCACTTATAGGAGGGATCAAATGAAAACACTAATTGATGCCCCCCCAACAGCCGAGAACATTGGTGTGATGCGGAAAATAGACCATGAGATTGATGAACTGGAACTTCGTGAAGAAGAATATTGGGCTTAGAGAAGAAGACAAACATGGTTACAGGAAGGAGACAAAAATACTTCCTTTTTCCATATGAAAGCTGACTAGCGTCGCCATAGAAATACTGTAAAGGGTGTTATTAACGAAGGGGGGACCTGGAGAGATGATGAACAGGAAGTGGAGGCGGTTTTCCTTGACTATTTCTAATCTCTTTTTAATTCTAATGGCAATGTTGATATGGCACTTGTTCTTGACAAAGTTCAGAATCGAGTGTCTGAGGAAATGAATGAATGTTTAACTATTACATTTACAAGGGAGGAGGTTCGGAAGGCGTTGAAACAAATGCACCCGACGAAAGTACCGGGAACCGATGGGATGCCAACTCTTTTTTTACAAAAAATTATTGGCACTTGATGGGGGATGAAGTGATCTCTTACACTTTGAATATTCTAAATAATGGTGAATCGATGGAAGAGATTAACCATACTCACATTGTCCTCATTCCAAAGAAGAATGAGTGTAAGTCACCTCGAGACTATAGACCGATTAGTTTGTGTAATGTGTTGTACAAATTGATCTCCATGGTTATATCCAACAGACTTAAACTCACTCTGCCACATGTGATTAGTGAGTCACAGAGTGTCTTTGTTCCTAGGCACTTAATTACGGACAATGTACTAGTTTCATATGAGATGTTTCATCACCTCTCGAAGAAAAAAAAAAAGGGGTTAAGGGGTTTATGGCCCTAAAATTAGACATGAGTAAAGCCTAGGACCGTGTTGAATGGACCTTCGTAAAAGGTATGATGTTAAAACTTGGTTTCATTTTGGGTTTTGTGAGCTTATTATGAGATGCATAGCCTCGGTGTCCTATTCTATCTTGTTCAACGGTTTCCTAACTTTTGAGCTTAAGCCTAGCAAGGGCTTCAACAGGGGGGACCCCATCTCTCCTTTCATGTTCATTAATTGTGCAGAGGGTGTAGGTGTCATTCGAAGTGCACCTATGTAAGCATGTTGTGAATATGTTTGGCACTCATAGGAAGCGGGAATTGACATATACGATTAGGGACATGATTAGGGACAAAGCAAAATAGGGAGCCGCCAACAAGTTTTTATAGAACTTGTAAACTGTTAACGGATCATTATAAGGCAACCACCATAAGTGACAATGAAAGGCAACAACGATTGACCCGTGAAGGTTACACCCCATTCATAATCCATGAGATTACTAATTCCATATGGTTCAAAACCACGAAAGGAGGATTGGGGATGATGGTACGAAGTGAGTCATGGAGTCATGTTTGCCCGTATTAACCTCTACTCGATTCTTATAGTGAAAAGTATTCCTGCGATCGCAAAGGCATGCAAACAAAGATTCAATTTGCTCCAAACTAGTATTAGGCTAAATTGGTTGAATGCTAATGCACCACATAATTCTAAATATCGTGATCACTTGATTAAGCAACAAGATTAAAAAGGAACCTAAACCGGTTGTCCAAATTATCTTATTAGGCACATTATATTCAATTACATATTCCCTTTAAACATGCAATATGGTGATCTATAAATATAATAAAATCATCATTAACATTGGAAGCAGTTTAGCCATAATAACGATAGTAAAATCAAATCATAATAGCCCTAATCATGATACTAGCACTATAAAATAAAATATTAAATTAAATTAATTAATTACTCACATTCCGTACGCTCCTTTAAATTGCTACATCATGAATAAATTGTTAGTAACTTCAATAAAAATAAATAATAATGGAAATTAAATTAAATAATAGTAGAGTTGATTTGGCCCAAACCCTCAATCGGTTCTACCTTTCACACCTTGGATTAAGTACGGAACTTTGGGTGTTGTATGGACTCCTTGGAGTGCTTAAGGGAAGGAATGGTGTAATTATTAGGAGAATAGGTTTAAGGCTTAGAATAAGAGAGAGCGGAATTAGAATATGTGTTGGTCCCCCCGAAACAAGAGAAATCAGCCTCTTATTTATAGAAAAAATGTGAAGGGTGAAGCATGAAACCCTAGAATTGAAATGCACCATGGAGAAACCCTAGATAATTGCCGTGTCACGGCAGATTTTACCGTGTCGCGACAGATTTTGTCGTGTCGCGACATTTGTGTTTTCCAGAATTTCGTCTAGATTCATTTTTATATTTTACTTAAGCATTAAGCATGTGATAATTAGGCGCCATTTCAGCTATTCTGGAATTATTTCAGGCTTAGGGTTTTATTATTTATTAATCGGATTTAATTAATAAATAACACGAAATGAATTAAAAAGGGTTTGGGCTAAAATGGAGGTTGGACTGAGTTTGACTAAATGCTTGGACTGATTTGTGGGCTGACTATGTTTGACTGAATATGGGTTTTAAGCAGTCCCGAGATTAAATACTCGACCTGACCAATAATGGCGGTGAAAGGTTGTTCATCATCGGGTTTGGTTTTGGGGAGACATTTTTAGGTGTCTACAAAAGTCCCCACTTTGACCGAGTTTGCAAAAACGTAAGTTTCGAAAATGATAGTCAAAGTAGTCGCTTGGGATGGAGAATGATTTAAGACGTTCTACGATCCTAAATCACTCTGTATACGTTGATGCCTGCAGAAAAGCGTTATTTCCACAGATAAAAGAGTAAGGGTATATAATGCATATCTGACACCAGTGCATGGCAACAAACACGTTTTGGTAGTCTTCTACGCCTTGAGAAGTCCACGTGATTATGATTTTCTATGCCTCGGGAATTTTGTTAGATGATATATTTCCACGCCTCTGGAATTTTGTTAGATGATATTTTTCCACGCCTCGGGAAGATTAATATGAGATAGTTTTTCCACGCCTCGGAATTCTATTAGATGATGTTTTTCCACGCCTCAGAAAGATTGATGTATGATAGTTTCCTCGCCTCGGGAACTCTATAGTGAATTCCTACGCCCAGAGTAGCTTACAAGTGAAATTCCATACTCCGAGAATAACACTAAGTGTCCACGCCTTGGGACGAAATCGCCAACTTCTACGCCTCGTGAAGTGTGCAATGATCGACAATTTTCCACGCCTTGGGAAAAGCTTGTCTGATAATAAAATTTATCGTCCACGCTTGGACACAATCGCTGACTTATACGCCTCGAGAAGTGTGCAACGACCGACAATTCTCCACGCCTCGGGAAAAGCTTGTCTGATATTGAGAAATTACAAGTCTTTATGCCTTGAGAAACTTGCAACGTGAATCGTCCTCGCCTCGGGAGATGATCACTAGGTATTTGATAAATGATAATGGTTCAATTTTCCTTGAACGTGGGTTGTAGATGAAGATAATTTGTTTGATTATACCTGAGACCCACAAAATAGAATTTTGCCAAAGGACTCGTATGGACTGTGATTGACTTGACCAACTGACTTGACCAAGCTTAACTTGACACGACCTAACATGTGTATGACTTGTGACTGTGTGTGTATATGTATAGTTTGAGTGTGCGCTACTGAAAATGCAAAAATTTCCATCATTTTTTGTCATGAGTGGAGGATTTTGTCATGAATGGAGGGTACCGACATTCTCCCGAAAAAGAAAGACGTGAAAAAAGGAGTAAGAGTTTTCAATCTTCCCTCGATAAAAATTTTGAAAAAGTTTTTAAACTTCCCTAAAAGAAAAAGAAATGAAAAAAGGAAAAAGTTTTGAACTTCCTCAAGAGCAAAGCGAGATGAATCGCATGCATTTTCTTCTCATCAAATTGAATTGCTCGTGCATGATGAATGTTTGTAGGCCATGAGGCTAAGGACAGTTTCATCATGTGACACGATCAATGAATGAACTTAGGTCATGAAGTTAAGCACATTATAATCGTAGTTTATTATCGGTGTATGTTTCTTAGGTCAGGGAGCTAAGCATCAAATATAGTGTATGAATAAATAATCTTGAACGTCGCTTAGTTCTGGAAGCTAAGCACGTATACAATGGTGATTGTTGAGTAATGCATGAAATAATGACAGTTGCTTAGGTCAAGGATCTAAGAAAAATGTAATGTATGCAATAGTGAATGTTACTTAGGTCAGGGAGCTAAGCACATCTTGCATGAATCTTGATAAATGTACCTAGGTCAGGAAGCTAAGTACATTTGTGATAATGCTATCGAATGATGATGACTTTGTTGGATGGTGTCGTGAAGCATGCGTGGTGTGGAAACAAGATTTCATGATAAAGGGTTCCTATGGGAAGGAGGATATGGCCATGAATATGTGAATGAAGTGTGTGAAAGTGATACTAAGGTGAGGCTGCAAAGGCTATGGTGATGGAAAGAGATGTGAAAAGAGTCGAGATGGTGGCTCTTTAGGCTGGATAGGCTAAGTGATGTGGGTTGAAGCCCCCAAGTATAGCTCTAGGTGGATAGGGATGAACATTAGACATTTTTTGACTCGATCATACAAGGATATGAATATGAATGTGGCCGCACCTCGATGTGAGGTTGCCTACGTATCCGTTAGGAATCAGGCTGAACGTAGCTCTTGCCGAACTTTGCACAAGTGTATGTACACCTCAAAGAGGTCTTTCAAGGGTTGTAATGTGGTTAAGCTGCAGGTTGGAGAAGAATGGATAAAACGCTCAAGACCCGAGAGAAACCCCCCAAAGATGTGTAATTGTGTATTTGAAATTTGAACTTGCAAGCATTATTTATCATATTTTTTTTTGTTTTGAATTTTTGTTATTTTTTATTCTTTTGAATCAATGTGGGCGATCTCGGATCATGCGGTCCATCAGTCACTTAACATTCATGTTTCTTAGGCACGGTACCAAGCACTCAATTCGAGCCGCAATTCGAGCCGCAATTTTTCTTTTTTTTTGTTTCACTTTTTCTTTTTTTTTTTTGTTTTGGAGCTTGCTTTTGAATGTTACACAAATTACACACCTTCCTACCCCAAGGTGTGGTGTACGTGGGTTGAATAAATGAAGGCCAAACGTTAGACGATGCTCAAAGTGGTTAGTGAAGAAATGGATATGTGATTGAATGGTTAATGGGAATAATGGGTTGCAAAG